ATTGTCTTAATTTTTTTAGGTATGTTTTCATGCAGAACTCAAATGTGATTTTTTGTCCTAACATCCTAGTGGTTATCCGATTATGGTGTACCTTAAAAGGATATAGGAGAGCTATGAAAGGAAGACCTAAAATAATTGGGTCTGAAATGTTTTTTATTAAAACAAATGGAGTTTTCAAACAAGCATTGTTTCGACAAATATGAGCTTTTGGAATTTCATATTTTAATTGCATTGACGTGGCAACACTAAGCATTTCTATTGATTTATGAAAATACTGAGTAGGAATTAGTCCTTTTTTAATACAATTCAAGTCTGCTCCTGAGTCAATCAAAGCAATTGTTTCTAAGTGAAAATCTTCAATTATTATTTTAATTTTAGAATACCATTTCTAGATTCTTATCTTATCTAATAATCCTAATATTAAACCTTTTGTTGATTTTTCTTCAGACTGAGAATCTGAATTGTGACTTGAGGAAGAACTATCGTGTCCTTCATCATTATTGTTGACAAGTGTTTGTGTTTGAATCCTACTGAGATGTGTACGGATTTCTAGGTTTTCTGATTTTAGAAACCTAATTTCATCTTTGATTTTGTTGATTTCTCTTGTAAATCTTTAACTGTAATTTCTTTCTTGGATTTATTAAATCGCTCCAAGGTTGTGTTAAGGCTTATTTTTTGGGAAACTTGGGGTTAACTGGTATTGGCTTCATTTTGGGAGACTAATTTCTTAAGCTTTTGTAAGTAGAACGATTTCAATTATGGATCATCTACTTTACTGATTAAATCGATAAGAAAATTTTCTGTTCTTCTTGTTTATTAAGGACTGAAATCTTTTTACAACAAGTATCAATGCATCCTATTTTAATGTCGGGGGATGAAAGACTACTTGAGGAATTGTTGGAAGAAGAGGAATTAGTACTTAAATCATTTTCAGATTGACTATGGTCTGTGTCCCTTAATTCTAAGACTTGAATTAGCTGTAGTTTCTCTTCTTCAAAGATTTTCAGCTGGCTGATTATTTTCTTAACACAACATTTATCTGCATAATGACCGAATTTGCCATACTTGTAGCAATTTCTCTTTTGTTCTTGATTTTTGGAGTGAAATTTTCCTGAAGGTTTCCTCTTCCACTTGCTGGACTTGAGTTTGTCATAAAATTTATTTGTTTCAAAATTCTTGTTTTTGAATTTGTTATATTTGGGATGTTTCCTACTAGAATACCTATTTGGGTGTCTATTTGGATACCTATCGTAGGCTTCTGATTTTTTCTTTTTGCTGGATGGAGCAATAGGAGGTAATTCGTATTGTTCACAAAATGTTCCTAATTCATATTTGGCTATTGATTTGTCTTTATTTACTTGTTTTGAAATTTTCATATCAATACACATTTTCAATCCTTCCTTCTGGATAATATTAATAATATTTCCATAAGTAAAGGTATGATATGGTATGATGCCTTCGTCGTTGACTAAAACATTCCTAATTTTATGGGCAAAAAGGTTTGGTAATCCATGGATGAATTTTTCTTTCCAAAATGGTTGATTACTATCTTCTCTAAGGATGACTCTGGACATGAAAACGTCTTTGTACCACCTGAAATCGCTTCAGGTTGGACATCTTAGATTGCTAAGTTGGTCATGAATTCTGGAAGTGACATAATTGGGTGTACCTATGAAATGTTCTGTGATGGTAAAGAGTAAAGTGTTGCTTGCATCTGGGACTCCTTGTCATATATGCTCATCAAAGATGGGCGTTCCATCTTCATCCTTATTAACTGCATGTTTAATTTCATTTCGTGATTGTTCATTGAGATGTTTTTCCCACCATAAATGAAGCATTCCTGTGAATCCAGTGATCAAAGGTCGACAACTTGGGTTTGGCTAAGATTATGATTGGTAATATAACTATTAGCAACCATAGAGATGTGTTGTAATTTATTTAAAAGTTATTGTTCTGATAACCCATCTATATTCCATTCATATAGTTTATTAGCCAAAACTGAGAATTAATTTTGGATGTTTCGTTCCTCAAATTGAATATCCGGAGGTGTTGGTATCGGATACCAATTTTTGGTAAGAGTTGTTTAGTTGACTCGTTTATTTGTGATCCTTTTGAGTTCAAGGTTTTGAAAAGCATGTTCTACTTTCCTAATGGAGTCTGTTTTGGTTTCATTTTCTAAATCCCATATTGTAGATATTGTTTCTACACGAGATTGTTCTGGATGTTGTAAAACACTGACTATTTTTTCTTGCTTTAATTCTTGTAACATTTGGTCTATTTTTTGACTTGTGGAAATGGTTTTCAAAGCGATTGTGCTAGAAGAAGACTCTGGAAAGTTGACTAAAGGTTTTTCCCTAAGTGTGAGTTTTGGTTGGGAAAGTTTGTCTATTTTTGTTTCGATTTTGTCTAACCGTTTTCCTATGGTGTGTAAACTCTGGTTTGTGAAATTGTTTTGTTCGATGACTGGCTTGACTCCTACATCTTCTTTAGGAAGTTTGAAAGGAGTAGTTGGTATTTGGGTGTTTGCAGTGGAAATTAAAATAGTTTCTCGTGGGGGATGACTAGAGGAAACTAAGGTTTTATCTTCTTTGACCCAATTTCTTTGGTGATGACCTCTAATTTGTTTCAAATTCATAATACTTTTCAACAAAGTCGAAGAAAAATACTTCAAATTTGTGTTTTTCCATGAAATTGGTCCACTTATTGTAATTGTCCAATTTTTGTTCTTTTGTATACTTATTACGAAAAATGTCCCTACGGGGAATATTTTCTATAGCTTCAATGTCAGCATTGAGTTTCTTCCATCGAATCTTGAATGGTTTATTTAAGACTAGTAATTGATGGTTGACTTGACTTTTTTCAAAGTCTGAAGCTGTTAGAGAAGTTTGTTCTCCTTGATTTTGGGTATTGGGTTGATAAACGAGATGAGTGGCTTGAGAAGTTGTTTCTATTGATTTTAGCTTGATATTAATCAAGTCATTGATTAATTCTTGCTGAGTAACAGTCGAGCTTGTTTCAACTGCCTTTAATTTTTTGTTAATTAATCAATTGATTAAATCTTGGTCTTGACCCATCATAATGGCATATGTGGATCCAGAAAAAGAATTCCTACTGGGTGTTAAGGATTTGTGTGACTGGGGAAATTCTTGTAGTTGAGGCATTTGATTTTCTGGTTGGTCGGTCAAAGTTGATTTTAACTGTTCCATCAAAATATTGTTCTATGTTGTCTAGATTGACTAGACTATTTTGAATATTAACTGGTTTGCTTTCGTTAATCAAATACCAATCTGAAGGTAGACTGATATCTGACCATCTAATGGTTCTGGGTATTTTGATGTTAGCATATTCTTGGTTTGTTTGGATTAAGAGTGTATGGTCTCTAGGACTTTTGACTAAGGCTTGGAAATTCATGTTTGTTAACCTTGTAATAGACTCTAAAAATTAGAGCTAATGGTTGGACCCCTTCAAGGACTTGGTACCTTGAAGTTTTTATGTTTAACGTGAGTGCTTTCAGCATGTGAGGGTCTGAAAGGCTTATTGTGAGATCTGGGAAACAATCAAAATGAATTGGTCCGTTATAAAAACTTGACTCAACCATTCCAAGAATACTATCACTAAAATCAGTGAATCTAGCATCTCAGAGACATAGCAAGATAGAGGTATTTAGACCTCTCCTTGTTAATGGTGTAACTGCAATTTGGACTAGGCCTATGTGAATGTAATTGTAACCATCTTTTCTATGGGTTCTAATTTGTTCCGGCATGAATAATTGACAAGTTTCATGTTCTTTGCTAAGAGCATATGCTTTTTCAAATGTTTTGACATGGTGTTCATTTCTAAAAGAGGCTACTGACCATTTCTTTTTATAGATGTTTTTACTAGAAACCTTGGGAATATTCCAATCTCCAAAGTCGACACTGTCATCTGTCTAAAATTCTAGTTTTTGTTCTTCACTTACTACATCTGGAATTGTTCCTAGATTGGACCTAGAGCTAGCGCTAGCCATTGAATTAGATCTAAATAATCTACTCATATTTCTCAAAATACAGACTTACAAAACAGAAATCCTATCGGCTTACCTTCCTTGAGTATTTGCTAAACTCCCTCTCCGCTCATGCGATCCGCTCATGCCAATCCTATGGACTTATTGTTTGGAACACGCCTTAATGTTTGGGTTGAGAGTTAAATAAGACAGCTTAGAAGGTGAATCAAACAAGATAAACTTAATTGAAAGCTGGAAAATGAACAATAAAGATGATTAAATAAATGAACAAAGAAAGATGATTTTATATATATATATATATAGGGTTTGACAAAACCCATATGAGACGAATTCCTAAAATAATTACCATAAAAATTTACCTTCTTGCAATTACGGAGAAGATTCTAAATTAACTAAATGTTCTAACAAGAACAAATAATTATATATTATACACATCTACCAAACATATCGATGGAACATCTTGTTACTTAACAAAGAAAATAAGATGTCTGAGACTCTGAACCTTCCTAAAAGGTGAGAGTGAGCACAGAACTTGTGTGCTCGATCGATCTTGATGATGAAGATTTTGTGTCCACTAGAAAATGTTAGAAAGGACGCTAGGATCAGAGAGAAGAATAAAGGGAAAGTCGATAAGCGAGGGTGAGGGTTTACGGGTAAGTCAATGGATGTCTAGGTAGAGTGGGGTTTTCATGTGCTGTGTGTAGTGATTTTTTTAGAAGGATAATGCCAAACTTTTAAACCAAATTTTGCAAACCAAATGATGTATCATCAATAGGAGTTAAGCATGTTAATCAACACATAAGTAATAATCCAACCATAAACAACCGTGTCATTTGGTTTATAAAATTTGGTTCCTTGGCATTATTCTTCTCAAAAGTTCAGAATTTAATATAATGGTTGGAGTGATTGCTTGAGATCTATGTCTCACTAAAGATGAAAACCAAAAGTTTTCAAAATTTTCAACTTCACTACATACCAAACAAATTTTTGGGTTTTAATGAAAATTATTCTTATAGATGTAAGTACAGTTGCATATAACTGAAATATATGAGATAAAGGAATTGATCATCATCATAAAGTGCATTAAACATTGATTAAGCATTGCCCTTCTATTCCTAATGGATTTGAGCCTTGTTGTCGTCACCAAAACCATGATCAGCTTGCTTAGTCTTGTTAAGCAGGGCATTGGCTTCTCTCCACTTGTGGTATTTACCAAACAAGACCTCCATATCTTCAAGGGATCGACCCTGCGTTTCTGGATACAACGTATAAAAGAAAACCCAACTAAGCGCAGCAATTCCCGCATAAAGAAAGAAGGCCCCTCCAATCGTGATGGCCTTATACAATGAAATAAAAGTCATCGAGATAACCCCGCTCGTCACCCTGTTTACGGCCACCCCCATACTGCACCCTTGCGCACGCAACTGCAACGGAAAAATCTCAGAACTATAGACCCACGTGATGGGTCCCAACCCAATGGAGAAAAAAGCAACGATGAATAGTACCATGGCGATGCACAACCCGACGGCCCATGGGACCTTGCTGTGGGATTGATCAATGACCGTAAGACCTACACCGAGCAGCGTAAAAGAAACTACCATTCCACCCACGCTGCTCAAAAGCAAAATACGACGTCCAAACCGATCAACTTGAAATGTTGCCACCAAGATTGCAATGGTCTTGACAAATCCAACAGCCACGGTTGCAAGTAACTTGTCATTGTAAGAACTGATTCCCGCCTTCTCGAAGATCCTGGGGCTGTACAAAACCACAGAGTCTGTGCCCGACAATTGTTGAAAGAAGTGGATACCAAGGGCTGCTATTAAAATGTGGCGAACGGCCGGCGTGGGTCGGAGGAGCAATTCCTTCCATATACCTTCACCTTGGCTACGTTTAGAAACCTGAACAACCTCATCCTTTGAGTCTTTGGGGATTCCTGCAACTTCTTTAATCTCGTCTAGTCTGAGCTGCGATTCCTCTTCAGAAGTTGATGTTTTATTTAGTACTCGCTTGGCGTCTCCGAGTCTCCCTTGCATGACGAGCCAGCGTGGTGACTCGGGCATGGCTAAAACGCCGAGGGCAAGAAAAACTGAGGGAATTGCGCCGATACCGAGCATGATCCTCCAGTTCAAGTGGATTGGGAGCTTGGCAAAGGCAAAGTTGGATACGTACCCCAGTAATATACCAACGTTAACAAACACCTACATATTTTCAAAATGATCAATTCTATTAATATAAACTCCACCAGCATGCATGTGAGATACACTAATGTTAATTTCCACACCATTAGTATTTTTCACACACCTCTTGTTAATTTCCATCTTTTGATATTATTTAGTTCATTTGATCTTGTGGTCGAAAATTCAGAGGGTGTATGGAAAGTAAAACATGGTGTGGATAGCGCCACCCAGTTTAATTTTTCAGGAAAATTCTAGGGTGACCGCATTTTATGTGACATTTGTGCACTATCTAATGTGGCAAGTGATGTGTACCTGTCATTGAATGTTGGTTGTCTACGTCACCTGCCACATGAGATGATACACTAATGTGCTATGAATATCTTGGTCACCCTAGCATTATTTTTTGGATGGTGCTATTCACACTCTTTTTTACCATCTCACACATTCTCTCAATTTTTGACCGTCGGATCGAATGAATTGAAGAAGACCAGTGGACAAAAATTAACAAGAGTGCGTGGGAGGTAAAAAAGGTGTGTGAATAGCACTCCCCTACTTTTTACGAGGAAATTGTTAGAATATCACATTTTTTTACCATATTTTTATACCTTCGAACGTGGCAAGTGATGGTTTAAATGCCACATCAATTAATGAATTTATCTTATTGAATGTTCATTGTATGCACTACGTGTCACATGGGATGATACAAAAATGTGATATAAATATATGGTCTCGCAAGCATAACTTTTTTCAAATACTTAGATGCTTAAATTTATGTAAACATATTACCTTGGCTAATAACAAAAATAGTTACTGTATTATATGATAATATAATGTGGTAATGAAACAAACCTCGGGGAAAGATGTGAGGAAGCCACGAAACGAGGCTGGAGAGATCTCGGCGGTGTAGACAGGAGCTATCATAAGAGCATAGCCAACTCCAACTCCGGCAATGAATCTACCGAACATGAGGAAGGCGTAGTTCGGGGCAAAACCCATGAGGAGAGCTCCAATAAAGAAGATTGTTCCGGCAAGTACTATGGTGTACCGGCGTCCAATCCAGTCAGAGGTTTTACCGGCCAAGGCGGAGCCAATGAGAGAGTATATGTTCAAGGTACCATTAAGAACTTCGACTTGAACGTCGCTAATATTGAGGTTTTCTTTGATGAAGAGAGACGCTCCACTCATTACACCAATATCTGTAAATAAATTTGAAATAAGCATGCGTCGCAGGTGGAGAAGTTTCTTCCAAAACAAAAAGAATAGGACGGAGAATGGCGGATTGCAATAGTAAGATAATATTTTTAATCAAATAAGAACAAGAGTGGAGAATGAGTGTATCATTTGAGAACCACAAACACTAACAATATCCATCAGTTTTAAGGAACAATTACCATAACCCAGTAAGATAGACGTCATTGAAGCCAAAACGGCACAGGCAACAGCGAACTTCTTTGTCTTGGGTTTCGTTGGGGGATCAAAGTCTGCAATACTATTCTGGGGTTGGCCGGAGACGACGTTATTGTCTGCCGCCTGGTCAGCCATCTCTATCTCTATAGAGCTAGACAAATGAATAGATAGAGAGGGAGAGAGAAAGAGAGACAAACAGATAACTTATAAGAGAGAAATGAAGAGATCACTTAACACAGAGAGAGAGAATTAGATATGAGGAATGAGCTATTAATCAAGTACCATTTATACAAATTATATCCATTTGTCCGAAATGTTCTTGTTCATGGAAACAAACACCGTCATCCAGTACTGTCATCAATCAGTGAACGGATTTGAATTATCTTAATTCTAGAACACAATTTAGTTAATTTGTTCTTATATACCTAAGCAACAAAATAAAAAACTGAAATATGATTCCATATTTAGTGTCATTTCAGGCACGCAACTATATATGCGCAAAAACTGTGTGATATTGTTTCATATATGTTACAAACTCACCCGCCATCAGAAAATTGGGGTTGCCCTACGAAACCTTGCTTTTAGGAAATAGCTAGTTCGTACGGCGAATTTGGTCAACATTCACTTCTACATTTTACAGTTTTCGTTACGAAGGACAGTTGGTCGCAGAACGTAATATTTTGTCGCATAGGATATTAAGCGAAGAAATCTTTGTTGCACAAAGGTCATGAAAAAAAAATTGCGAGACTAAATAATGAAATTTGTTGTGCAACAAATGATTGTCCATTGAAAAAAATGATTCGTCACATTAAATGTAACATAACAAAGAGCTTAATTTGTCGTGTGAAATACAACAAGGCAAAAGTCTGTTGTCATATTCTACTCATGGGAACGAAAAAGCTGCATTAGTAAACAATTGCACGACGAAATGTTTTGTCTAGTACACATTCATGCAATAAAATTGGAGTAATTTTAACATTATTTAATTGTCACAAGTTTGTCGTATGCATATTACTGTTACGCGACGAAAGGTTTCGCTGCGTAAAGTTTAATTACATTTTTTTTTAAAACAACAATTTTTTTTTAAATTAAATTGTAACAATAATTTATAACAAAGTTAATTACATTTTTTTTTAATTAAATGGTAACAATAATTAATAAATTTGTTTTATTTATAATATAAAGAAAAATGTACGTACAATTTCAAAAGTTTTAAAAGTAAGGGAAACAGAAAATCAACAATAAAAAGGTTTGACTTGTCTACTGCGTCAATGGTTGCAGGCTGCTGGAAAGGCTTAGAGGTCAATTGATCGAGGTGCTAGCTCCGTTCCTGGTATAGGGGCTCAGAGGTGGACGGGGCAACACCTAGTGGGACAAGCTGAGGGCTTGTATGATCAGCGACATCTAACTCTAGGTGTACATGAGTTCACTCCTTAGGTTGCCCACTTCATATGTTAATGTTGTGACTTTGCCCTTTAAACGTGTTGATGAAGAGGCCTAGTGTCTCGCTCTCGGGCATTCCCTATTTCCCGGCTAAACTTCCTCGGTCTCCGATCAAGGGTTTGATCCAAGGTTTCTGTCAGGATCCGAAACCCTGCATCCTAGGACAGATCCACGCCCTTAATCCTGGTGTCGAGGGGAAGCTGGGAGGCTGTCTCCTGAAGAAAGACTAGCTCTTCTCTACCATTGCTGCCTATGATAAAAAGAAAGGAAATATTAAAAATCTTTAATATTTAATATTTAATTTAGTTTTTAAAGTAGTTGGAAGTGTAAAAGAGTAACAAGAATTTAGCTAAACTGACATGTAGCTGCTCGGTCAACTCATCCCTGGGTTGAAGATAAATGTCCTTAAAGACGTCGATCTCGGGGAGTTTTGAATCGTCCTGGAACTTAAAAAGTTAAGAAAAATGTTAGTGCGCAAAAAAGAAATACAAATTTGTCACATAAAAATTGGAATATGAAAAACTTTATTACCTACCATCAAGCCTCCATCTTATTTGAGAAGGGCCTCGATCCCGATTGGTCGAGTCTTCTTGTCTCGGTTGATCTTATTGGCCTTCGCCTTCTTTTTTTACACACAAAATGAACGTATTAGTTGTAATATTTGAAGAAAATATAAAAAAAATTAATTAACATAAGAATTTAAAAAAACAATAGTTAATTAAGACGTAATAACAGATGTACCATAGATGACTCATCCTCAAAATGGAAGCAGAGCTACACCCAGTCCTCTAAGCGTTCCTCCAACTCCAGTGGGATACCCTTTAGGGTAGCGACCCTCGGATCATTAAACAGCTCAAATCATTTGTGGAGTTAACTCTTACACTGCTTGTAAAGGTCAGTGAAGAGCCTCTTTAGGTGGGCGGCCATGGACTCGTTAATGTTGTTGAGATTGTAGTATATCTATAATTTAACAAATATAAACATAGTATTAAATATTGCGTAATTTATTAGTATAATATATATATATATATAAAATAAATATAAAATAGTTGGATACTTACCAACAAACAATCACGAACCTCTACCTTTTGACACTCCGGCATGACTTGCCAACATTTCCAACGTATAAGGCAAAAGGTTCAAACGACGTGGACCAAAGTGCTATGCCACTAGTCTTATTTGATCGTGATACAATTGTTGATCACCTGGGTGATCACCTGGTTGAACATACTCTTAAATTCTGCTGAAATTTTGGCAAAACCTCCCCTATAATTATAGTGTTTCCCAAACACTGCAAACAATAATAACCAGTATTTCACATCCACATTTTGGAATGCATAGTTACGTGACATTGTTTACTGCTCCATTGGATTAGATTTTGACGTGAGACAATTCTGGTAGCATCTCTCTACAGTTCTTCAAGTGCACGACGTAGATAAAAAATACATATCAGGCACTCGAAGAATGTACAAAACTATGACCGAAATTCCCATGACCAAAACCTAATCCGTGAATCGTAAACTACGCCCCATAACTATGCATTTTCAAACTGTCCAAATAATGGGATAATTCAAGAATCAATTGGACCACAGTCATATGCTTTCATAGCCATGTGCCAAATCCAACTAATCCTCGAATGGTAAACTAAGTTTATTTTGAAAAAACGCGCATGAAGTTAGTTATTATTCACTTTGTACAACACAAAATAATTTTGTTCGTGACGTACACAATAGTTTATATACAAACAATTTGACACACCATATTTTAAAAATAAATTAAATAATTTAAAATTTAAAAACCAAAGAACTTGCCTCCAATTTCGTTTTTAACCAATCGATAATCGTATACAACAACTCTATAGAAAACAAATGTAATGGCGTCAGTACGAATTCAAAAGGAAATTTTCAAATACAAAACGAAAATGGTAACTTTTCAATCGAAAGGCTTTCAGTTTCAGAGATCACTTTTCTCAGGCCAAGACCGTAGGAATTAAAAACAATTTCTCATTCAGGAGCGGGAAAGGAAAGATTAATTAAGCGGTCAGCGAGATCTTTACAAAAAAGAAAAGCATTACAATAAATTCAAAGCCATGAACAAAGGGGATTGACTGAGAAGTCACATACCGAATAGAGTAGGATAGAACGATTTAGGGAGAGATGATGGGAGTATTAGAGGATGGATTTGATAGTAATGGAAGGAGGAAGGCTGAATTTTTGTTGTGGCAGAGGCAGTTGCTGCAAAATTTGCAATTTCTACCTTTACAGCTAAGCAATCTGATTATAAACACAAACTCTTTGTGCGACGAAATCTCAGTCGTGCAAAATATATACCGTCGAAAATTGGCGTGAAATCTACTTGCACTTTTTTGCCACTTTGCGCGACAAATAGGCCTGGCAAACGGGTCGTGTCAGTCGTGTTCGTGTCGTTTTCGTGTAACACCTGTTATCTTGACAGGTCGTGTCGTGTCACACCCGTTATCTTAATGGGTCCTTAACAGGTCGTGTCACTTTACCCAACGGGTAAAGTGACCCGACCCGTTATGACCCGTTAAGAAAAATATTTTTTTTTTCTTAAATTTGCACATACCACACATTGCCACATAAATATTACTTCAAAACATTAAAACACATTTATCGTTTAAGTACTACATCTACACTCGAAAATAAGAGCCTAAAAAAATAATAATACATACACTACTAATCTATTACAAATTTTAAATGTACAAGGATATGCAAAATGAAACAGTTTTTGTTTTCAAGGTTGTGAAATCTTTCTCAAAAGTTTAAACCTCAATTTACAAAATCCTCGATTTATATCGATCATCATGAAATTGCATTGGAACTTTGGCTTGATATATTGCCTTCAAGAGTTATGTTGATGATGTTTTCAGTAAGGTTTTCCACGTCATAACAATCTTCTGCATAAACTAAGCATAGAAAACCCAAATATTAAAAATCATTCAAATTATGAGAAGTTTACCAAAATAATTATGAAAAAAAATAAAACAATAGTACTATACCATACTTTTATTAAGTATAAACATAAGATTTTGTGGTATCCACTAGTGTAAATATTTTAAATTGAAGATCGAATTCAATCATTGTATTCATATAAGGCCAAGGAGTGTAGTTGTAAAAAATCATCAAAATCGGAGTTAAATTAACCGTTAAATCGTGATTTTTCGTTTATAACCGTCGAAAAGTTTTCTCCCGTTACGTGCTCTTTGAATGTTTGTTTTTTGCAATTTTTGGCGTATGCGATCTCAAAATATATACAAACATGTTTGACGGTTGGATCATTGAAACTAGTTTCGTAGAATGAGTATCCCATCAAAACAATAGATTCACTAATACTTAAGAGTTTATTCATACTTTTATTAAGTATAACATAAGATTTTGTGGTTTCCACTAGTGTAAATATTTTAAATTGAAGATCGAATTCAATCATTGTATTCATATAGGGTCAAGGAGTGTACTTGTAAAAAATCATCAAAATCAGAGTTAAAATGACCGTTAAATCGTGATTTTTCGGTTATAACCGTCGAAAAGTTTTGTCCCGTTACTTGATCTCTGAATGTTTGTTTTTTGCAATTTTTGGCGTATGCAATCTCGAAGTATATATAAACATGTTTGACGGTTGGATCATTGAAACTAGTTTCGTAGAATGAGTATCCCATCAAAACAATAGATTCACTAATACTTAATAGTTTATTCATACTTTTATTAAGTATAGTATAAGATTTTGCGGTATCCACTAGTGTAAATATTTTAAATTGAAGATCGAATTCAATCATTGTATTCATATAGGGTCAAGGAGTGTGGTTGTAAAAAAACATCAAAATCGAAGTTAAAATGACCGTTAAATCGTGATTTTTCGTTTATAACCGTCGAAAAGTTTTGTCCCGTTACTTGATCTCTGAATGTTTTTTTTTTGTAATTTTTGACGTATGTGATCTTGAAGTATATACAAACATGTTTGACGGTTGGATCTTTGAAACTAGTTTCGTAGAATGAGTATCCCATCAAAACAATAGATTCACTAATACGTAATAGTTTATTCATACTTTTATTAAGTATAATATAAGATTTTGTGGTTTCCACTAGTGTAAATATTTTAAATTGAAGATCAAATTCAATCATTGTATTCATATAAGGTCAAGGAGTGTAGCTGCAAAAAATCATTAAAATCAGAGTTAAAATGACCGTTAAATCGTGATTTTTCTTTTTATAACCGTCGAAAAGTTTTATCCCTTTAATTGATCTCTGAATGTTTGTTTTTTGTAATTTTTGACGTATGCGATCTCGAAGTATAGACAAACATGTTTGACGGTTGGATCTTTGAAACTAGTTTCGTAGAATGAGTATCCCATCAAAACAATAAATTCACTAATACTTAATAGTTTATTCATACTTTTATTAAGTATAACATAAGATTTTGTGGTATCTAGTGTAAATATTTTAAATTGAAGATCGAATTAAATCATTGTATTCATATAAGGTCAAGGAGTGTAGTTGTAAAAAATCATCAAATTCGGAGTTAAATTAACCGTTAAATCGTGATTTTTCGTTTATAACCGTCGAAAAGTTTTGTCCCGTTACTTCCTCTCTGAATGTTTTGTTTTTGCAATTTTTGGCGTATGCGATCTCGAAATATATACAAACATGTTTGACGGTTGGATCATTGAAACTAGTTTCGTAGAATGAGTATCCCATTAAAACAATAGATTCACTAATACTTAAGAGTTTATTCATACTTTTATTAAGTATAACATAAGATTTTGTGGTATCCACTAGTGTAAATATTTTAAATTGAAGATCGAATTCAATCATTGTATTCATATAAGGTCAAGGAGTGTAGTTGTAAAAAATCATCAAAATCGGAGTTAAAATGACCGTTAAATCATGATTTTTTGTTTATAACCGTCGAAATGTTTTGTCCCGTTACTTGATATCTGAATGTTTGTTTTTTGCAATTTTTGGCGTATACGATCTCGAAGTATATATAAACATGTTTGACGGTTGGATCATTGAAACTAGTTTCGTAGAATGAGTATCCCATCAAAACAATAGATTCACTAATACTTAAGAGTTTATTCATACTTTTATTAAGTATAATATAAGATTTTGTGGTATCCACTAGTGTAAATATTTTAAATTGAAGATCGAATTCAATCATTGTATTTATATAAGGTCAAGGAGTGTAGCTGCAAAAATCATCGAAATCAGAGTTAAAATGACCGTTAAATCGTGATTTTTCTTTTTATAACCGTCGAAAAGTTTTGTCTCGTTAATTGATCTCTGAATGTTTGTTTTTTGTAATTTTTGACGTATGCGATCTCGAAGTATATACAAACATGTTTGACGGTTGGATCTTTGAAACTAGTTTCGTAGAATGAGTATCCCATCAAAACAATAGATTTACTAATACTTAATAGTTTATTCATACTTTTATTAAGTATAACATAAGATTTTGTGGTATCCACTAGTGTAAATATTTTAAATTGAAGATCGAATTCATTACTTGTGTTCATATAGGGTCAAGGAGTGTAGTTGTAAAAAATCATCAAAATCGGAGTTAAAATAACCGTTAAATCGTGATTTTTCGTTTATAACCGTCGAAAACTTTTGTCCCATTACTTGATCTTTGAATGTTTGTTTTTTTGCAATTTTTGGCGTATGCGATCTCGAAGTATATACAAACATGTTTGACGGTTGGATCATTGAAACTAGTTTTGTAGAATGAGTATCCCATCAAAACAATAGATTCACTAATACTTAAGAGTTTATTCATACTTTTATTAAGTTTAACATAAGATTTTGTGGTATCCACTAGTGTAAATATTTTAAATTGAAGATCGAATTCAGTCATTGTATTCATATAGGGTCAAGGAGTGTGGTTGTAAAAAATCATCAAAATTTGAGTTAAAATGACCGTTAAATCGTGATTTTTCGTTTATAACCGTAAAAAAGTTTTGTCCCATTACTTGCTCTCTGAATGTTTGTTTTTTGCAATTTTTGGCGGATGTGATCTCGAAGTATATACAAACATGTTTGACGGCTGGATCGTTGAAATTAGTTTCGTATAATTTGTATCCCATGAAGTTCAATGGTGTGTGTGTGTATATATATATTTATTTATTAAGTAAATTTAAATCTATTTATTTTGTATGTATAATTATTATAGTTTTTAGGGGTATAAAATTTAATATATATAATTATTATAGTTAATATTTTGGGTATAATTATTATAGTATATATAATATTATAATTATTATAGTTAATTTAATATATA